ATCGTGACGTAGGTATGTGGGGGCGTGTTAGAACGAGCCGTTTTAGGTAGGCGTGGTTAACTCTTAACTTTTATAAAGAATATCTCTTTGGATTTGAGACTTTAGTCTTTGCAACTTTACAGATCTTCTTTATGCACCAAGAGCTTGTAACACTTCAAAGAGAAAGGAAAAATCGAAATCGCATCATATGACCCCTTTAAACTCTGAAAAAAAAATTCAAAAAAGTCAAATAAATTGTAAAACATATTGTAAGATATTAATTAAATAATCTTTATTATATTTACAACTAAAAAAATTCATTTCTACAGTATATATAATTATTTTATACTTTAATTTATATTAAAATTGTATTAAATATATTTCAAATATATATTTTTATGTACAGTCTGAAGCTGATTTTTGCTTTGTCTGCAGGTTGACACTTCCTGCAGTGGATGGATATGAAGCTTGTGGTGGTGATGGGATTGCCTCCTGAGATAGAGGAAGAGGACAGCGCCAAAACTGGGACTGAATTCTCCCTCGCCAGGACTATGATGGTGAAACACTGTCAGGCTTTAAGCACAACTCAGCCAATGTGATGCCCTTCTTTAGCTCAGAGGCCCTCTTACAACTGCAGCACACTCAGGATGAGAGCAGTTTAGCAGCCACTTTAACCAAGTGATAATGGGCTGATAATGGAGTCTCCTATTTCTCTCACTGAGTCTGTGTGTTCTCTGTCTGCATATACCAGCAGTGGTCCCCCAGTTCTTGTGGACTCGGCTCTTCTGCAGTGGGCTCTGGACTGCAGAGTCATTCCGCTGGTCTGTCCAGTGGGCCGCGATGCAGCTGGCCACTCTTCTGTCCTCAGTCCGATCCAGGTGACAGCAGCCATCTCGCAGTCACTGCATCCTCTGAAAGTTATATTCCTGAACAGCTCAGGGGGCATCCGCAACCAAAACCACAAGGTAGGGGCAAGATGTGAATATGACTAACAGAAATATTTGTATTATTTAATTGTATTAATAAGTGTGTGTGTATTGAGGCCCATGGTTTAAGGTTTACCTGCACTAACTGCCCAGTGTTACATATATACTACCATTTCAACATCTGGGGTCAGTTACTGTTCTTTTCAACATTCTGTTCATAAAAAAATTAATTAATTAAGCAGCACAACTGTTTAACATTTATAATAATAAGAAACATTTCTTGAGCAAATCAGTATATCAGAATGATTTCTGAAGAATCATGTGACATTGAAGACTGGAGTAATGACTGCTGAAAATTCAGCTTTGCCATCAAAGCAATAAATTACATTTTAAATTGTAGTAATATTTCACAATATTACTTTTTACTGTATTTTTGATTAAATAAATGCAGCCTTTGTGAACCCTTTAGAACTCATAAATATGACACAAAAGATCTTCAGATTGTCACACAAGTCCTGAAAGTAGAATCCAATCAAACAAATGAGACAAAAAATATATACTCTGTCATTTATTTATTGAGAAAAAATGATCGAGTGTTACTTATCCGCTTCAACTCTGCGATGACAAGACATACTAATACATGGTTAAATAACCTACTTGAAATGATTTTAAACCTGAAATGATTTTTGTAAATCCAGTGGTCAAATGTGTAGCTACCTGACTAATGACTAGTCTTTGTGTGAATGTCCACAAAACAACTTTAACATTGTGCTTCATCTTGGAATTTCAAATCAATTATCATAGCACAAGTGAAAGTCAACAAGACTCTTCTTTTTCAGTGTACCCCACACAACCCACACGTAAGTAGATGTTAAC